CATTGTTGCTCAATATCTTGGTAAAGAGAAGTGGTCTAAAGAAATTGAAAAGAACACTGATTTCATTACTGTTCAAAAGTGGAAGGGAAACGGAACTTTTCCCTTGGAACGATTCATCGGAGGACATCGCAATGCCCACCAGGCGCTCCTTACTGCATCTCAACATGTGGAGTACCAGATCCCAAATGAGCATACAAGGATTGGATACCTCCTTCGGGCGCTCCACACAACCGATCCTGGGCTCCATGCGACTATTGCCAACATTGAGGGCAACAAAGATCCCAATGGACCAAGATATTCTTTTGAAGAATGTGCACGATTGCTCCAACTTGCCGACCCGGTTGCCAAGAAGAACAAGCGCAGTCACGCACAAATCTCAGATACTACTGTCACCATTGATGAATCAGCCAACCAAACCATTGAGATTGTGTCTCTGCGATCTGGAATTGGAAAGACTGGCGTTCATCTCCGTTTCTACAAGAAAAAGGAGTTCAATAAGCTCCCTGCAGAGCAAAGAGCTGAGCTGAAAGCTTGGCGTTTGACACCTGAAGGGAAGGCTGCAACGGCAAGAGATAGAGCTGCAAAGGCTAAAGCTCATGGTGGAAACTCGTCTCCAAAGAAAGAAGGAAAAATATCGGCTGCTGCTTTTGAAAAGGAGCTGAAACGACGTGTCAAGCAGTACACTGATGAGGAAGACAAGAAGAAAGGTCTCCATGATACTCTTGTCAGTGCACTCAAAACAGTCAATGCCTCTCAAAAAGCGCCTGCTCCTTCTGCATCTGCTGATGTCAATGCTATTCTTCTTGCCAAGATTCTTGGGAAGAAAGATTGACTGGTCCCGGCAGAGCCCAAAGTTATTTCTGCGATGCATTGGACTCTTGAGCCGGACCCACCCTGGAAGACGATGGATGACACGACCATTCCAGTGTCCCCGTCACTACGAATTGATGCTACCAATGTTGAGCACCCAATGGATTCTAGATCAGAACTTGACTCCCACGCCAATATGATTGTTGTTGGATCCAATTGTTTTGTTCTGAGTGATACTGGAAGGACTGCTTCGGTCAATCCCTACAATCCTGAATATGCTGCAAAGAGTATCCCAATCGTTGATGCTTCCCTACTGTATGAGGATCAAGTCACTGGGCAGGAATATATACTTGTGATCCGAAATGCTCTACATGTACCTTCTATGACCCACAACCTGATTCCTCCATTTATTCTGCGAGAAAACGGAATCCAAGTGAACGATACGCCAAAGATCCATTTGGCCGATCCCTCTTCTGATGATCATGCAATCAAGTTTGATGAGCATCTACGCATCCCAATGAAGCTGCATGGTACCTTCTCCTACTTTGTCACGAGAAAACCTACGGTTGAACAGCTCAATGATGTTGATCCTAATCACGTCTACATGATGACACCAGAGGAGTTCGATCCACACAAATCTTCCTATGCGCAGACTGAAGATCATCTTGTCAATTATGATGGCGAAGTCGCTGATGCTCGGAACCGTTCCAAGCTTTTGATTTCAGATATTGAAGATGATCCCACGATGACTGTGTGTGCAATGTCGAATATGAGAATGGAAGAACAGACTCTTGTTGATAAGTCCGTTCTAGAGGAGGATGATGCTGATGAAGGCCTATTGGGATAACCTTTCAATGTCGACCTTGCCTCTATCTCAAGTATTTTCTGTGAGCGCAAGTCTGAGCAAAGTCCTCGCCCCATTTTGCAATCTGTTACCCTTTAGCGCGTTTCCAGCTTGAGAGGAGTGTTCTAACGTCAGACAGACAGACGGAACGACGATTAGTACGCCAAATTGAACGTTGGTGAACGTTGGCGATGCTAGCGATCGTTTACGTGCATGTTTTTGCACACAATTCAATTAATTTTCAGACAACAAGGTTTTACGTCTTTTCCCTTGTCATCACCCAACATCAAAACACTTCGTCCAAATTGGACGAACTTTGTCGGACCGACAAAACTTCTATAATTTAAAAACTAGCCAATATTATTTTATAAGTGTACTGGGTAGGGACTGCAAAGTGGGGGAAACAATTTGCAGAAATAACGTGCCGTAAAGGCGTAATGTGACTGACTGGACTGCCGAGTCCCGAGCAGATATATTAGAGTGATTGAAGGCCAACGGTCGTCGCCAATCTCAAGCCCAAGATCAATCATCCATCATCTACTCACAGCTGCTTCAGACCCCCGTAAATACACCCCAATAGCAATATCAATCACCGTCTATCATGTCCAACAGTAGCTACATCAATGCACTAGTACGCTCT